ACTCTGGTATGTCTTCTTCGGATCCCTTTGGGCTTGTGGGGAGAGATCTTGGCCGCTGAAGGACTTTAAGCAAAAAAACAAGCTCCTGTATGATGTAAAATCACATGTGAAAAAAAATCCTGATTCAGAGGATTCTAAATTGATGCGTACAGAGATTAGCATTTTATCAAGTGCAAAAATCAGCTTATGTGAGATGTGTAAGAATTTGAGTGAAATAACAAGAGACAGAAGCTTTAGGATACATTTTCTGATTTCCCGAATACTTTTGGATTTTCACCTTAGCTCAAAATGCAGTGTCTATGCTTGTATTGACACATGGGTTAAAGATGACAAGATTAAGCATTTAGAAAGCGAGTTATCAGAAAATAATGCCTCCATGGAAGGTTTGATTTACTTTTGGACTTACTGGAAGGAACTGATAACGGAACTGATCAACTGGAGCTCTACATGGGGTCACGGTGGCAAAGAGAGTAATATATATGAGGATTTCATTTGCAATTATTTTGGGTTGAGGAAGTATGGCTTGGATAAAAAGGGCAGCTATGTTGTGCTTGATGCTGAAGCCCATTGGGTGAAACAGATGAAGTACTCTTGTATTCTTAGAAACAGACATTTGCACATCATTCATGCTGTTGAATTTTCATCTGTGGCTTCACAATATTGGTGTTCGGAACTACTTTTTGTTGCTGGAAGAGTGTTGAGAAAGCCTCAATCTCTTCATACTTACTCAACTGTGAAAAACTATTCCATGCATCAACGCATGAAAATACTTACAAATTTGTTTGAAGTTACAAAGTCACTGCAGGAATGCAAGTTTCCAAAGAATGCTGGGCACCGTGCTTGTCGGATTGTCGATCAATCTTACCAATTTTGCGTGGATGAGTTCATGAAGAATGTCTTTCATCTCAACTCGAATATTGCACAGTCAAAGGAAATGATATCTCTTAGGGGAAATGAATCATTTGTGAGCATACTCAAAGAAGCAATCAACATATACAACAAATCGCCTAAAGGTCTAACATGTGGGCAGCTTGGGAGAATAGCAATCATCTTTCTAGCATACAGAATGACCGACTTCAATGGTGATACTATGAGAAAAGTTTCCCTGAAATGGCAAGCATTCTTTGATAAAGTCAACGGTGATAAATCAAGTTCGATAAATGTTGACTTAGCTATAAGTTTACACAATGTACTGAAAGAGACAACAGATTCTGCAGGTTGGCTGAAAGTCAATGACTGTATGTCACCTATTTGCTTCTTATATCTTATTGAGCGTCTTCTAATCTTGTCATTTTGCTTTCATGGTTACATTTTCATGACACGATCTTCATGTGTCGAATGGCTTAGTTATGAGGGATGGTGCGTGGGTTCAAATGTAGGCAGTGTTACATGTTTGGATACCATGAAGGATATCCATCATTCTTTAGTTTCAATGGTTACGCAAATGTTGAATTCCCATGATGATTTATTGGAATGGGTCACAAGATCAAAGGAGTCGTATGATGTTTTGGTTTTGAGATTAACTGTTCTTCTTTCCATGATCTGTGTAAACTCGGGACAACAGTACTACTGTCATCATCTGCTTGATCTTTTGGGATGCTCTCATCTTGCATCTGTACTGCCATTAACATTCGCTGAGGAGCTAATCAAGGGGATAAAGGAAGACTGTTTAGTTGATGCTCTTGTTGTTGCCTGTGAGAAGATAGATAATCTACTTGTCATTGTCAGTTTCACTAAAGATTCTTCAATGGCCCCAAGTGGAAAGGCCATATTTCTGAACATGGCAGAGCAGGATTTTACCCAGGAAATTCTCCTAAAAATGCTGTATTAAAGTCCTGGATATCAAAAACAAGCAAACTTTTTTTTTGTCTACTTGATGTATGGTGAATTGACATACGGTTTAGTTTGTACAAACATTATTTTGTATATAGAGACAATGATGTTGGGATGCCAATCTCATTCACAACTCGATTGGTTTGGATTTGATGTATTTGGGCACCTTTCATGACGTGTTCTCTTAATTTGTCGTTTTATTGTTGATTATCGTGCTAATTGGTAATTAAGCCATCATGTTCCAATTTCAAGTTTTTTCACTACCTTGACTTATTGGTAATATGTGGGGTTCAAGATTGTCTATCAAAAAAGCATTTATGGGGAGAATGAGGCTCCAACATATAAGACCCCATGTCGCACTATATTAAGTACATTAATGTGTCATTTCTTTTTGACTTAAAAGTCAAAATAGGGTTCAACGATATATAATTGCTTCTTCTTTCTTTAATGCTAACATAACATCACAGTATATCTCCCCCACTCTTTTTATTTCTTTTAAACCTAGTGAAACAATTTCTTTTTCAAGATTTAAATTTTGTTGTCATAGGGACTAAATCCTCAATGAAATACAAACTTAATCATTATCAAGTTTCCATAACTTTGTTACGTTTGGTCCAAATTTATTTTTTCTAGGCTTAAATTTCATTGTCGTAGGGACTAAATCCTCAATGAAATATGAAATTAATCGTTTATAATAAATTATGATAGTGTAATGAAAATGGATTAGACATTTAATTATCTAATTATTACGAATAAGGAAGTAAAAAAACTAACAGAATGATAGATAATTATAAGCCTCCTAGTCACCATCTCAATCTTTAAAGCTACTTTGAGTCACCATCGCCGTGTTTTGAACTCATGTATGGGTCAAATTCTTTACTGTTCCTAGGTTAGAATATTATTGGTGATTTTATCGTATCAAGTCACTTAGTATGATATGATCAGGGTCGTCCTATACATTTTTTAGGTCCGGGGCAAAAACAAAAAGGGGCCCTCATATTATCATAATAAATTATATTGCGAAAAACCAAGTTGAGAATTAGGCGTGCTAACTATATATCAAAACCAATACATTGCAAAGGTGTGCATAAAACCGATGAGGAACCAAAACAAAAAATTGGATCGTACTATTGTAGTGAAAAACAAACGGTTTGCTTTTTTGAGTCTTAAAAAAGATTGATTTTCAGCTTCATTTAGGTTTTTCTTTATATAGAAACTAGAAAAACTATAACAAAGGGGAATACTTATGCCCTTTCATGTATAACTTAAGTGATTAGGTTGGTGGTGGTTCTACAATGGGGCGGATCCATAAATATTTTTAGGTGGGGGCTAGAAAATATTTAAATGTGTTTATGTCTGAATATAAAAAAATGATTTAACAAAGTTTTAAAAAGACTCGTACCTTGTTTGTGGAGTAAGAAGCAAATATACGTATTGAATCAGAATAAATTTACGTCTTTAATATATTAAATTTTCTATATTCCTTTTTAGGTAAATTTACAAAAATGAGGGTGTTATATTTTAAAAAATGTTTCACATGGACTTGAACAAAAAATTATTTATCGACAGCTACCGATTCAAGTGCTAAAAAAACTTCAACTTTTGTGTAATTTAAATATGAAGACCTTATTAGTATTATATTCTTTTTAAAATTATATTTGTAGAAAAACAAATTTGATGTTTTTAGTCCAACTCTTTAGCTTGAAAGGAAATATCATTAAAACTATGGACATGTGCAATAAAACTTATTTTTCAATACACTACAAAAATATTTCTTACTTATGCATAATAAAATATCAAAAGTTCAACGAAAAAACAAGCCTCCATAATATCAAAATATATAGTGGGAAAGAAGGTTTTGAAATAGAACATAAATGAAATCTATGACTAATAATAAAAATATGCAAAAGAAAAAGAATAAAAACAACTAATAATGCTTTTGTATTGTGGGTAATAATGTGGTGTTGCATGTCGTTCAATGTAAACTTTTGTGCATCAGTTTTTGGTTAAAAAATTGAAAAAAAAAATTAAAAAAAATAGAAAGCCTACAAGAGGAGTCGAACCTGGCTCAATTCAAATAAGAGATCGCGTCGTAACCAGCTCCTCCAAAGATAGTTTGAATAACTGCAACGTAAATATTATATGTAATATACAACCAAACTAATTTTGGGGCCCCAACCATCATGAGGCTTAGGGCCGTCGCCCAACTTGTCCACCCTATTGGACCGAGCCTGATCATGATTAACTCGAGACAAACTGAATTCAATTTTAGCTATAACATACAAGCTTGAAGATGCAAAGTACACACAAGTATAAACTAAATTTGATCTCAAGACCATGACAGTCAAGGGCAACACCTCTGGTGGGGTTCCAAGGGGCACTGACCTGCCCCGATATATGATTCATATGTAAGGATATTATCCATCCATTAAATTTTTCCACAAAACTCAGCTAAAGCGTTTGCTCCTAACATACACGACTTCTCCTGATAAATAACCAAATTTAATTGTCATTATCTCATAAGTATATGAACCAGTTATACAAACTGATATATATTTCCCTAAACGTTTTTCTTCGAAGTCATTATTTTTGTAATCATAAAACAACAATGTATTTTTGTGTTGGTATCTCTGAATTTGCATGAAATCGGGATATTGTTTACTTGAATGACCCTAAATCTAATTTCGTGTAATTCCAACCATGATGTTTTCAATCAAGATAAGGTTATAATAGGTACTGCACAAACAAGATCCGTGCGAACAAATTTGGAGATTAATTTATTTTAGTAGAATCTTTTCATCCTGACTTGATCGGGATCACGTTCTATAAAAAGATTTTAGATAAGAATCTTAACAACCTTAGTATCCATCAACCAAGTATTCAAATGTCATCTTTGAATCTCAAAGCTAAAAACCATTTCAACAGCAAAATATAAAAACTTATTGGATGTATGTATTGCAATATCAAATCTTTTTACAACTCTCAAGTTAAATATGCATATATCGAACGGACAGGTTCTCTTTTTGGAAATTGTAAAGAAAACAACAAACAAGTGTCCTAAGGTTTTGGGTAAAATGTACATACGGCACAAAGTTGATGAGTGTTTTTATGCTCTACATATTCTAAAAGGCCAAATATGTAATTTTCATATTACTATTTACTAGTACCACTTCAGAACGCTTGAACTTGCCGGTTTGGGAGGTGGTACGGAAATCAGTCACAGGCTCGGGACCTGCTTTCTACTTCCCTGAAGCTCATCCTCAACCTCAGGTTTGGACTTCGCTCTTTCTCAATGTATATATAGCCGTTGAGATCTCCCTCCTTCAAACTCAAATGGCCAACAAATTTCCATCTTTCCTCGACTCTATCAACTCATCACTCCATAACACAATCTCTAATGCCTTTCCAATTTATCATCTCAGCTTTTCAGTTAAGTGTTTGACCTCGATGGAAAACAGAAGACGGGGAAGAATTAGAGAACATATACGTTTGTTTCTTCTGTGGGTCTAGGGTTTTGTTTGTGGGTTTTTTAATTATTGGGGATTTTGTTGGCGAAATTGTACATCAATCGATAGATGGGGTTAGGGTTCTGGGTCAACAGTGCAATTTGAGGTCAGCTGATGCTAAACAGAAGGCGGTGTAGAGTTAGATCACAGAGATGTATGTTTATTTTGTCGGTCTAGGGTTTTAATTATTGGGGTTTTTGTTAGTGAAATTGTACATGAACAGATAGATGGGTACTAGGGTTCCGGTTCAACAGTTTAATTTGAGATCGGCTGATTCATACATAGATGGGACTTCTTTGCATGATCTGAATACTGTGGATGGACGTTCTGGAGAGATCATTGAACCCATGGTTGACCGAAGTGCTGTTACAGATGAAAGCTTAGACAATGAAGACGACTCTGGTGCTGTTGTGAGTTCTAAATAGTCTCATATTATTTACCTTATTTGTTGTCTTTCTTCTAATGATTTTGCTAATATATTACTTTATGCATTTGATTTTCTGAAATTAGTGCTTAATTTCTTGTTCAGATCCATTTCAAAGAGCTATCCTGTTGTAAATGATTTTTCTTCGTAATGCAGGAATGCATGCATGAAAGTTACCAGAATACATTACCACTTCATAATGTAGGGGTAGATGGAGGTCATTCAAGCCTTGATTCGAACGGGTCTTCAAGGGACCCATATAATATATTATCAGCCAATGGTAATATGAAATTTCTCACCACATGTTTATCTTATGATTAAGATTAAATCACTTGACTAAAATTGAGTTTATTATATTGTAGATGTTTCACCAATAGAAACAGCAAGAGCAAGATTTCTGGATTTTGTGGTGGATAATTTCATTGGGTCACATATAGTTGAAGTAACAGATTCTGAGACAGAAAGTTTATCTCAATCTGTGGAAGAAAAAGTGAGCAAGAGGAAGGAAAGAGAGATCCAATATGAAGGTGATTCTCTTTATGCATTGCCATTGATGTATGTGGCAAATATGTATGAAAGTTTGGTTAATGAAGTAAACATGAGACTTTCTTCATTGGATGGCATGCGTGAAAAGACCATTGGAGTGGCACTTGAAGCTGCTGGTGGTTTATATAGGAAGCTTGCAAAGAAATTTCCTAAAAAAGGTATCCGTTTCCTTTATTTGAGTATTTGTTAATTTGATATTCTTTTGGTGCTTGTTCCCCATGGTTATTTATCCTCCAAAATAACTTTTATTCATGTATGATGACTAGGACCTTGCACATTTAAAAGAAGAGAACTAGCAACATCTTTTGAGACAAGATCAAGATTTCCTGAATTAGTAATACAAGAAGAGAAACGGGTTCGTTTTGTTGTAGTCAATGGTTTGGATATCATGGAGAAGCCAACTATTACACATATAGATGATGCAGAGTGGTAACAATATTCATTATCGTTTTAAAAATAAGTAATAATACATTTATATTATCAATTATTATAGATGATGATTCAATTTTTTTGATGTATGTAGGTTCAAAAGGTTGACTGGTAGAAGTGATGTGGCAGTTTCTCCTCGTGACTATAAGTTTTATGCTCCAAGACATAAGTATCGGCGTTCTTCATCCAATTCTGTTTCAAGCATTTCTGGTTTTTCTGTAAGTTTTATGCTGATTTTATTTATTTATATTAAATATTAATATTGAAGGTAATGAATAATGATGATATTATATTAATTATTGTTTTGAGTTTTGAGTTTAGACTTTTCCTGGTGCTGATAATTCTTCTCCAATGTCTGTTGCTCAAGGATACCGCTCTCTTACTGAAGTAACATTTTTTCCTTTAATCACAACGTACTTTTCACCATTTTATTGATTATATAATTTTTAATAGTTATGATAATAAGATTTGGTGAATAATTATTTTCAGCCACATCCACAAGATGATGAACATCAGCAGACATCATCAAAACAGCATATGCAAAGTCTTCCACACCAGGGTCAGTTTCATATTCAATCGCTGACTCATGGTCAACATGGTCAATATTCTCAATCATCACATCTTCCTGAAATTGGGCACACACAGCAGTCCTCTGCCATGTCTCAACAGTTGGCTTGTTTACAACCACTCACTCACCTTGGAGCCCGCTTGCATGTACTGGTAAACTTTCTCTATCTATATAATCTCAACCTTTTTAAAAAAAAAAAAAAAAAAAAAACTCATTTTAGTTTGTTAATAATTGTTTATTTAATATATTTATTTATTATTATTATTATAGCCTACAAGCCCTGCAAAGTTTTGTGACGAATGTGGTGCTCCATATTTGCGAGAAACTTCCAAATTCTGCTCAGAATGTGGTGTCAAGAGGCTAGGGACATGATGTTTTTCCTTTTTTCTTTTGCTCTGGTAAAAGACGTGAATGCCCTCCTCATCAATGTAGGGCTGATGTGCGTCTGTTGTTGAAGTTTTTTGTGATGAAGGGGTAGGATTAGTTGTTGTATTGTGGATGTTTACTATGTATTGGAATAGTGAATGTGTCTTGTAAAAATTACAAATATTTATGTTAAATCAGCTAGAGGTGTTTGTGGTTTTGTTGACCTTAAATTTTTTATTAGACCTTCATATGACTTATAATGACACAAATGAGGAAGCTTACATATTATGTTGAAAAAAGGAAAATGGACTTCTCATAAAGGTTCACCTATATGTTGAATATTTTATTTACCCATATCTTTATGGGGTTTTGACTTAATTGACCATCGAATTTCAGAAGTGTCACCATTTAGCCATGTAAGTTTTAATCGTGCTAATTAAGCCACTAAACTCTCATTTTTTTTATTTTTATTTCTTTTCCATTTAGGGCTTTTGACCATTCAAATTATAGAAATGTCATCATTTAACCATCCAAGTCAAGGTGGATTTTTGGGATTTTTTTTTTTTTTTTTAAATTCTTCTTACTTCTTCTCATAAAGTTTAGATGCCACATTAGTGCCAAGTCAAGCCATGTGACAAGCGACAAGTAAGAAACCGGTTGAAACCTGCTCTAGCGGCTTAACGGTGACAATTTTAAAAGTTTAAGGTTAGTGGCCAGATGGTGATGTTTTTGTAACTTCGATACTCAATTTTGTTAATAGTCCAACTTAAAACACATCATCATATTAGGTTCTTAAGTAATCTCAATATGGTTTTCCACTAAAAAGAGACCGACTTCAAATAGTTCATATTCAGTAAAAGCTACAATATAATGTTTGAAATTCAAATAAATTTTATTAATTTTTAACATGGATGATATATACTTAAAATCTATGTAGAATGGAAAACATACGGTTAATATTTATAGGTTGATGAATTATATATGCAAACAATTTACATGTTTCTTTTACCAAGTTTTTGCCACAAAATATATATTTTCATTAATACATGTAGGTGTGTTTTGAATTTTTAACTTGTAACATTTTTTTTTTGTAAATTTATGCAAAAAATCTTCCCTAATAAATAAAGAACTTTTTGCCACTTGTCAATTTCTTATGCATTTGGACACATGTAATTTTTTGGTTAATTCTTAGAAATTAATTTCCACTTGTCATTTTGTGGTAATTTTTTATTTTCTTAATTAACTATCTAATTTTTAGGTTATAGAAAGTAATTAATGTGTCATTAATTTGTTTCCTTATATTTTCAAATTTTAATATGTTTCCTTCAATACATATAATTCGAAATTGTCATGTTTCTTTTAAAGTTCATTATCATTTTAGGCAAAATGGTCTATATAAAAAAAAATAATCAAACTTTGTTGCTTTTTATTGACAAACTAAAAAAAATTATATAGTCAAAATATAATTATTTTTCTATTGTTTGTTTTATTAATATAAATTGAAGTATTTAGTTATTCATAATTTTGTTTGTATATATATTTTGAAATTTTATTTTAAAAAATACTTAATTTTTACACTTTGATATTTAATGTTTTCTTTAAAAAAAATATAAAAATTTTATATCTTCATATATAATTTTTTTTTTAATCAACCTGTATAATACACGGGTTTCAAGTAAATAATAAATTAACTGAATTATGTCCGTTATATGCAATTTTTTTGAACGGCAGTTACTATATGCATTATCTGTTGAAGTCCGGTCCAATTTCGACTTCCAACGATAATTTAAAATTTTCCCAAATCTTTTGTTTCATCGTACAATTCACGTCGAGGAAGAAGACGATTTTTCTCCTCCGACCACCATCTAATCGGATCTCCGGCAATGTATAGGGCCTTGGTAGGCCCGTCTGATTCTCTGGTGATTATGATGTTCACCATTAAAGATGCTTCTAAATGGTGGCATATATTAAACGACTCCCCTATTTGGCAAGATCGAATATTCTACCTTCTCGCTCTTCTCTATGGCCTCGTGGCGATTGTCGCAATGGTGATTTCTCCTATTGATTTTGTTACAGTTTCCATGATTTGTTGAGTTTCATGTTTTTGTTTCTAGGGTTCGTTTTAGAGCGATATTTTTTTTTTGTTTTGTTTATCTTACTAATTTGATTCTGGTATCGGTTAATTGAGAAGTTAAGTCGGTAAACTGTTAACTCGATTGCTTCATAACAGATTCCGATCTCTATATTTACACTTGTATGAATGATTAAAACGAGTAGTGTGAAGAAGATCCCCCATATATTTCATGATTTTGTGACATTTGCAGATGCAATTGATTCGAATTCAGCAAAGAGTACCAGAGTATGGTTGGACCACCCAGAAAGTTTTCCATTTTCTCTGTTTCCAGGTTAACGCAGGTCTGTATAATGTATAAATCTACTTTTTTCTCTTATGAATCTTGTGAATTCTGATAGTTACGGATGATAGTTTATAAACATATTTCTCTATATTGATTGCAGTTAGATGTTTGATTTTTACATTTCGTCGTGATATTCAACACTTGAAACCAGAGGTTAGAAAGTTTTTGTAAGTTTTTCAATTATATGAATATGAATATGACCCCATTAATTAATTCAGATGATAATCATGTTAATATATAATTTGTCAGATTGTTCAACATATCTTGCTTGATGTCCCAAGCCTTGCGTTTTTCACCACCTTTGCTCTCTTGGTTTTATTCTGGGCAGAAATTTACTACCAGGTTCAGTTTAATTACTTAATTTCTCATATTTATTTATAATCTTTTTATTACTCTTGGTTCTGATTGGTGAATCTTTGTAGGCACGTGCTGTATCAACTGATGGCCTTCGGCCAACTTTCTATACAGTCAATGGAATAATCTATGCTATTCAGGTTTAAGAAAAGACGAAGTTATTTTGCAATAAAATATGTATTAAGTTTTTAATTACAGGTTAATAACTTATAAGTTAGAACCACTTAATCTAATATTCTGTTATCTCTTAATAGATATCTTTATGGGTAGTAATCTGGTATAAGCATGTCCCTTTTATGGTGATCCTCTCCAAGATGTTCTTTGCAGGTCCTGCATTCTTTGTAATACATTTTGAAAAATGATTTTTTTTTAATTAAAATTTAAAAGTTGTCTCACTCATCTTTTTTCCAGGGGTGTGTTTGTTTGCTGCCTTGGGATTTCTGCTATATGGAGGAAGGTAATAGATTTTTGTTGGAGAATATATGAAATTATTGTTTAGCATATACAGTATATATAAGAGGACTAATATATATCTTGCATATATGCATGCATGCAGGCTATTTTTAATGTTGCAACGGTTTCCCGTGGAATCAAAAGGAAGGCGAAAAAAGTTGCAGGAGGCATATATTAATTAATTTATTAAACCGATTATGAAATTCAACCCTTTTAATTATCTATCTATTTTTATATGCAAGTAATGTAGTTTTGATTTATTTTGTTGGTGTAGGTTGGATATGTGACTAGTATCTGTTTTACATGTTTCCTCATAAGATGTGTCATGGTGAGTCCTCTTCTCATCAAATTGGTAATTGTTAGTGATATTATTGAGCATATATTTAATAAAATATTCTTTCTTGTTATTTTGATGGTCAGATGTGCTTTAATGCATTCAATAAGGCTGCAAACCTGGATTTAATGGAGCATCCTGTTCTTAATTTCATATACTACTCGGTAAACTTCTTTACTAGCTTTATATAATTTGCTCCATATATATTTAATGTCTTACCAATTATGTACATATATATCTTTGAACAGTTGGTTGAGATACTACCATCAGCTTTAGTTCTGTTTATTTTGAAGAAGTTGCCACCTAAAAGAGGGATAAATCAGTATCACAATATTCGCTAAGGAGAATAATATAGGAAATGCATGAAAATACAAACATTTAATTGATGGAAAGAAAGGAGAAGGTGCTATATATGTCCATGGTGTCCAAAGATTTTGAAAGTCTTATGAAGTGGAAGTGGTCTCTGTGGTTAATTAGTGGAATATGATAGTGATTTGTATTGATGGTTATTTGACACAAAAATGTTAATGAATGTGCATTTTTTTTGTCGTGTCTTCAATACAAGTTTAGCCAACATATATAGTTCCATGCATCAAGTAAAGATCAAAGTATATGACGCCAAGATTCTTAACAGAATGTTAAATCTTATTAATAGAATTCATGGTAATATAGAGATTTGATGTAGTTCATAACTCATAAGTCTTTGATATCCTTGTGGACATAGAAGATGGGTCAAGATACCACTTAAAAAGTATGACCTTTCCAATAAAAATCGATCACCAAGAAACTATGAAAATCAGAAGCAACTAAATAATGAAATGCGAAGTCAAGAAGAAAATAAATATGTTGGAAAAGGTTAAGAGAACTAGAAATCTATAAAGATTAAGACTTCAGTGATTCAAGCAAGGAAATGAAAAGCTTTTACAAAAAGAGAAGAAAAAAACATAATGTGGTTAACACTACAAGAAATGTTGCCATTAGCGGCGACGCAGGGCATTAGCGGTGACATGTAAATCACGCGTTACATATCGCCTCTAATGTCATGCGTCGCCGCTAATGACAACCTAATATCGATCCGCGTCAAACGAGCCTCATCCGTCCGATTTGTTTTCAATGCAAGGGTCGTAGAGGAACGAAAAAACGCGCTCACTTTTCCCTCCATGGTGTCGCTGCTAATAGTCACCTGTCGCCGCTAATACCGCCGCTAAAGGCCTTTACATATAACCCCCAATCAGCTTCCTTTTCTGTGTCGTTCCTTTCTGTGTGTTCCTTTTCTGTGTCTCTCACTGTGAAAACCGGCGACGAAGGTAGAAACCGACGACGCAAGCTATAATCCGGTGACCATCTTCCCCAGCCGCTCCTACCGCCACAAGACCGCCACACCGCCCCCAATCCTCCATTACCGGCGACCTAGAGATCGATTACCGGCGACCTACAACTCCAATTCCGAAATTTTGACATTGAAGGTCGAATTCCTCCCTATTTTCTATTATTTTTCTGTTTTGGTGCTAATTTGGGTGATAAATTGGTAGTATTCTTCAATTTTGTAGAATGCTATAATGATATGTTGATTATGATTTGATATGTTGATATTTTGTAGTTTGGTAATTTTTGGAAAGTAGAATGTTATAATGATATGTTGGTTATGGTTTGATATGTTGATATTTTGTAGTTTGGTAATTTTTGGAAAGTAGAATGCTATAATGTTATGTTGGTTATAGTTAGATATGTTGGTATTTTTTTATTTTGGTAATTTTTGGAAAGTATAATACTATTATGATATGTTGGTAATATATTTTGTTTTTTTGTTGATGAAAATGCTGCAAACGATACTAAAGGACCCGGAATGTTCTGCGGCATTGGAAGAGTGGTTTCGCTCATTGCCACCACCAAATAATAATGAAGGAAATGATAAGAGTGGTGACGACGAGTAGGAATTTTAGGATTTTATGAAATGTTTTGTTTGGAAGAATACTTTAGGTTGTATGGATTAATATTTTGGACTGTGGATTAATATTTTATAAATGTTATATTGTTTTTGGTTGTGTATCGCTTAATATTTCTATAAAATTGTACTAGATTTTATAAATGATATAATGTTTTTTTTATAATTTTAATATTAAATAAAGAAAAAAAAAAACGAAAACAGTTTTTGCGGCGACAAAGAAGTATTAGCGGTGACAGGCCAATAGCGGCGACGACTTTGCATTAACGGCGACTAACTGACCATTAGCGACGAAGCATTAGCGGCGACCTTTTTGCAGCTACACGTCGCCGCTAGAGCCCGACTTTCTTGTAGTGACGTTATTGAGCAAATTAATATTAGCTAGATCGTAGTAAAATGTAATTTTAATAACAAACTTTATAAATTGCAAATAGCACTTACTTTTAAAAAAGATAACAAGATAAACCGAATCATATTCTTTTTCTTTATAAAGAGATTTTTTATTTTTTTTATTTTTTTATTATAAAGAGAGAAATATTAATATATTTTTTATATATATACAAAAGTTCAAAGTAAAAAAAAAGTCTTAGGTTTTTTAAATAAACAAACTATTTATACCTTTTTAATCTTAAAAATAATAAAAAAATGGTTATAAATAAATATAACTTTCAACAAAATCTTAGTTTTATTTTCAAATAAAATAAACTATTTATTGAGTAATGTGTCATTGGATTTAATCTAAAAAAAACATAACAAATAGTTAAAAAAAAATCATATTATCCACATTTTTATTTACAGTTTTACCTTTATTTCTTAGCCTGGAGGGTGTCATGTCATGGTTCTACCATGACAATGACTATCCACCTCAGTTTTCTCAACCTCCGCCTCACTTTACCATCGTGTTTGTCACATACCAGGAGTGGTGTACGAGAGAGAGAGAGAGAGAGAGAGAGAGAGAGAGAGAGAGAGAGAGAGAGAGAGAGAGAGAGAGAGAGAGAGAGAGAGAGAGAGTGTGTGTGTGTGTGTGTGTGTGCGGTAGTTTCTTGCCGATGAAAGAGGAACCACATACGGAACCACACACCCAACACAGTGTTTGCCATAGATGAGGAGGCGAACCACGTTAGGAACAACAACCACATCCAACAACCTTATGGACAGGGGAAGACGTAGAATTCATAGTAGGGGTGTCACGGGAAAGTCAGAGGTTGCACGATATAGTAGAAAAAAATTCGAAAGAATTGTATTGCATCCAGAAAAGTCAGAGGTTGCACGTGTCACTGCATGCCCTATACTAAAACCATCCCTGCTTATGGAATAGTTTTGTTTTGTAAGATTCCGTTGCCTTTAGATCTTGCAAACTGCATATATAACATAACTCTTCAATTTTAGAATCTACTTTGGAAACATTTTGATGACTATGTTAATATATAGAACAAACTGCAAAAGAAATATTAAAAAAAAAATATTTATTTATGAGCCTTAGATATCTAAGAGCAAATACCATAAAAGCCACAACATTTTCATAAACCCTATTATTTTTTTTGGTTGTTTATGACTATAAATGGGACGAAGAGTTATCAATCTAGCACATTTAATAATTTTTATGGTTAACTACGCTATTTTTTTTTTTTGCAAAATCAGTTCTAAAAGTTCAACTTTGGTACATGTAGTTTGCAAAAACTTACACCAAACTGTCCAAAACTCGGTTTTATGTTTTTTAACTTTTTTATTTTCATTTTTTTAGTCATATATATATATATATAGATATATATATAGATATATAATATATATAGAATATTATTTTTTAACTTTTTTTTGTTTTTTTATTCATTTATTTTCATATTATATATATATATATATATATATATATATATATATATATATATATATATATATATATCATTTTTTTGTTTTTTCTTTATTTTCGTTTTTTCGCTTTTTTAGAAAACCAAAAAAAACTCAAACACCAAAAACGTAATATACTCTACTATATTTATACACTTTAAACTTTTAAAAAAATATCAAAAGAAATTATCAAATTGACGAAAAACAAATCGTACCAAAAATACGAAAAAAAAACAAAAAAAAATCTGAAGCAAATACGAAAAATATAAAAAAATATTCATACACTTTACATTTTTTGAAAAATATCAAAAGAAGTTATCAAATTGACGAAACACAAAACGCAAAAAAACAAAAAAAAACAAAAAAAATTTAAAAATTTAAAAATATTAAAAAAACGATAAAAATATAGAAACAAGTTTAGTTTTGACAAAAAAGTAAAAAATAAATGAAAATAAAGAAGTTAAAAAACATATAACCGAGTTTTGGACATGTGGTGCAATTTTTTGCAAACTACAATGACAAAATTTAAACTTTTATGGATGATTTTGCAAAAAATTTAACAGAGTTAACAATGAAAATCATTAAATGTGCTAGAGTGATAACTCTACGTCTCATTTGTGACAAGAGCCAACAAAAAATAAATAATAAGCTTTTCTCAATTAAGCGTAAAATATTGTGAGACAATTAATTTAAAAAAATAATTACATCCTTTCTAATAAATAATTTTTTTTTGCCACATGTCATACTCTCATTGATTTGGCCGCATGTCATTTTATGGTTATTTTCAATTAAACCTTTTCCACATGATATTTTGTGGTTGTTTCCTATTTTATTAAATTCTACATAATATTTAAATATAATAATTGCAATAAATATAATAATAAATGCATATCAATTTCAATAATTGATTTTTTTTCTAATTTCAACATTTCTAAATTAAAACTTCATTAGTTTCCTTTATTTATTTATTTAAATTTAAAAGAGAAAAAAGAAATTAATTTTAATAATTCAATATTTTTTAATTTTTCTTATAAATTCAAATTTTTTCAAAATTTTAGAATTTTCATATATTTTTTTTAAATGAACTCCTGTAATACATTGGTATTACACCTAGTAATTTTAATAAATCACTTTTCAAAAGAAGAAAAAACCCTTTAGGCCTTTACTATATATACGATTGGATATCTTTCAATGATTTTGGTTGAAATATTATTTCTTGATTAGCAACCAATAAAACAGTCGCTGTAATACACGTCAGAATTGTCCTTCAATTCCCACGAGGGAGGCTCTGCATTTCATTAATTTAAAGCAAATAAACCCTTTTGTTTTGCATTACGTCGTCTTCTTCCTGTTTGTCGCCCATTCTTGTTGACCCAAATTTTCATTAGTTTATACACATAACGCCAGTTCTAGGTACATTTAGTTGACGATTCCCCTTTCTAAATCAGTTTTTCTATAGGCTCTGTTGGCCCACTTCGTTGCCTTCTTTCGTATTCTTGTTTCTGGGTTGCAGAGTGTAGACTCGATTCCTCATTAATTTCAATCCTTTCAGTTTCTTCATAAATAACTTCCAATCGAAGATCATTCGACTGTTATTTTTCATCACAACAATCGAACGTTCATACATCCTTTCAGGGTTTTCCTTACTTAAATCAAGTCTTCTTCTTGAATCTTGATAGACTTCTTGTTTTCTACTAATCTTGTTGATAACGGGTTTTCTCTTCTTTACTTCAAATTTCGTTATTTAATTGCTTTTCAGGTATTCATAGTTTCTTGGTTATTTGTAATTTAAGCGCTATCGTTCTTGATCTATATCTTCTCCAAGGGAGTATGAAAGGGAAATTTGCGATATCAGGAACCAGCTTCCCGTTAAATACAGGCGCCAAGATTCCGGCCATAGGCCTCGGGACATGGCAGAGCGGCGGCGGCCTCTGTGCGGAGGCCGTGAAAACGGCTATATCCGCTGGATACCGTCACATTGACTGTGCACACCTTTACGGGAACGAAGCTGAAGTTGGCGAAGCTTTATCTCACGTTTTCATGGGTTCAATAAAAAGAGAAGATCTTTTCTTGACATCAAAGCTATATTGCACCATGAATTCCATCAATAAGATCGAAAATTCTCTTAGAGTTTCTCTGAAGAATCTTGGAGTCTCTTACTTGGATCTTTACTTGATGCACTGGCCGGAAAGCCCGGAGTTTGGTGACGCCACTGATCCTCCGGCACATTCAAGTAGCGAATATAGACAGTTATGGAGTAAGTTGAAAACAACATGGAAATCAATGGAACGATTGGTGGATTTGGGTCTTGTTCGAGCTATTGGATTGAGTAACTTCAACATACAACAGATAAATGAGTTGCTTAAATTCGCCAGAATTATACCTGCAGTAAACCAGGTTTGATTCTTATACATGTTTATGTTTGACCATAACAGATTCTTGTTTGACCACGACATGTATATGATATATATGAGGTTATATTATGTAGGTGGAGTTGCATCCTTTTTGGAGGCAAGATGAGCTTGTCAAGTTTTGTCGATCAAAATCCATTCATGTATCTGCTCACACACCCTTAGGAGTACCAACGGGTCCTAAACAATCTGAAAACGGGTCAAGTGAGGAAGATCCTGAAACACATCGAATGTCGTTTAGAAGGTCAAGATCGGTTCATGGGCCGATGCTAAAGTTGTCGGTGGTGGCTGAAATAGCCGACAGACATAAAAAGACTCCCGAACAGGTATACTTACACTTCCTTTTTTTCACCACAAGCACAAAGTAGCTAGATGCATGGTAAATTGGTAATTATTATTAATTAACCACTGGCTTTGTTATTTGACTTTGTGCGTGTGTAGGTTATTTTGAGGTGGGGTCTTGAAAGAGGGACAAGTGTGTTGCCATGTAGTGTGAATCCTGACAGAATACATGAGAATATTGATATATTCAGCTGGGGCTTGTCGGACGATGAATATGAGAGGTTAAACCAGATAGAGCCGCAGGTATGTCTGTTTGGAAATGGGCCTTCGGATGCTGTCTCTGAGAATGAAGGGTCTGTGCTTGGGAGTGGTCCTCTTCAATCCGTTGATGAAGATGATGCTGAGTAAAAATGTTATTTTCTTGTGCATGATGGGATACTAATAGGTCGTATTTTCACTTGGAGTTGAATTTGTGAATGTTTTCTTGGGATGAAGTATGTATAAAAGATGGATGTTACCTTGTCCATTTATTCTTTGCTTGTTATTGTATAAATTGAGAATTCAAGTAATACATAAAAATCGTTCATGTACATGTATTAGAAATGAAACCATTGCACGAGTTTGTCTAGGGTGTTGCTCAAGGTTGTAGAACTTGCTGCTCGGTAGTTGGCCGGCCAACTGCCGAGTAACGAGTACTCAGGAGTACTCGGATTCGGTAATTCATGTAAAAATATTTTTAGGAAAATTATATATGTCAAAATAATAAGTTAAAATCATAATTTGATTGAAATATATAACAAAATTAGAAACATGTGAATACATAAAAGATGAAATACACACAATTGTCTCACTTCGTGAATAATTACTGAAAATTTAAGATATATATATATATATATATATATATATATATATATATATATATATATATATATAGTAATAATTACATTTGTGTGTTAAATAATAAATCATTAAGTGTATCATACATATTAATATTGAAATTCTTGATTTTTTTCTCTTTTTATGACAATTGTGACCATTTGACCGATTTTGACCGAGTTGGCCGAGTTTGACTTTGTTGACCGAGTAGGCCCGAGTAGGACCGAGTAATACCGAGTAGGCCTGAGTTAGAGAGATGTTGACCGATTTTAGACCGAGTTTGACTTAATCTGAGTTTTTTTGCCAAGTTCACATAACTAGCCTCGGTGGAGGGCCAATTCCGAGTACTCGGCCAAGTAGGCCGAGTTTTGCAACACCGATGTTGCTTGCCATAAACCTGTGGGAGGTCCAACCATGCAGGTCCAACCATGCAGACAATTAGAATATATCCAATCGATGCAAGCATATCCGAAGATATTTTACACACATAGGTCCCGTTTGATAGTTGTTGTCTGGAAAAGTATTGTATGAGAAAGTGCTATCCGGGAAAGTTTTATGACTGAAAAACAAACCATGTTGTTTGATTGTACATTTGACTGACTGTGCTGAATGATGAAAAATGAACATATTACCCTGTTGTTCTATTCTGTGATGGATGAAGTTGTTGAATAATTATAAAAACATATAAATTATCATACAAAATCAAAATTACACAATAATCATTTAAAAATCCAATTATAAGTTGTCTTACAAAGTCATTAAACATAAATCAATTAAAATCCAAATAGAAACATACGAAAATTGAAAATAACATACTAATTTGCATACAACTCTAAAGTAAACCGGATGAAAGTAGTTGATTAGCAATTTGCTGACGCAAAGTAGCCCTCCATTCCTCCACCGTGCACATCAAGATTAACCATAATGTTCTCTTCAAAATTTGCAAATAACTCATCTTGGAAATTGTATTTCCTTATAAAATTATGGACCGCGACAAAAGCAATGACTATGTCTCTTTGTATCGGAAAAGGATAAGGAACCATTTGTTTTAAGATTGGGAATCTTGCCTTCAATACACCATAAGCATGCTCAATAACATTTTAAGTTGTGCATGAGCATGATTGAACCTTTCTTCTTTAGTTAAAGGTCGACATTCTCGAAAATCGGCTAACCATTACCTAGTGCCACAGTACGGAGCCATGAACCCACGAGTGTTGGTATATGCGACATCACAAAGGTAATATTTATCTATATGTGAGTGACATTTATTATATAAATAATATAGATAATAAAACTTATATACAAAATATAGATAAACTTATATAAAGATTAGGAACCTGGTGGAGGGAATGGAAATCCGGAAGTCGGATTGAATGCAACTTCTTTCAAAACTCTTGAATCATGTGCTATGCCCCCCCTCCCTTCTAGCCCATATAAAGGTAAATGTCATATCAAAATCACAAATTCCTAATACATTTTGATAACATTCACCTTTTCCTCTTCCCCTATACCGTGTTTGTTGATCAACGGACACAACTGCATTTACAAGAGTTCCATCTAGTGCACCTACTGCTCCGGAAATATAGCTTTTAACCGTATTTGTCGTTCTGAGGTATGTCTTGTTGGATTACGAGTTGTTGGTACTATAATTTCTTTTGCAAAGCACATCATTGCAGTTAGGACCTCGTGAAAACATTGATGAATGGTTTGTGTGGAGTGATGAAATCTTCCTTTAACCGCTCGAAAACGTTTATTATGTCCTATAACATGTAAAAACATAGCCATCTTCTCTTCAATGCTTATTGTCCTACTAGCTTGCAACCAAATTCTTTGCGTAAAATGATTACATAATAATACAAATGCCTCTTGTGTAAGACGCATCATGAAACATCCCAAATTTTTATAGAAAATTTCAACTTTTAATTTCATAAATATCAATCACAAGATGTCCAAAAATCACATAACATATCTGTATCATTTTTAAATTCAAAGTACGAAAACTAAATATGAAGACACCGGGGGAATGCATGCCACGCCATCAAGCCGGACCCTTTCCCTTATCAGAAGAAGTACCTGAAACCTGCAATAAAACTGTAAGCACAATCTTAGTGAGTTTCCTAAAACACTCGAATCATATAATCACATAATACCATGCACACACATAAACACATATAAGTTTACCATGGACTCCCTCCATGGTCTTCATTGGAACGCCATGCGCTACCCCCATGGTCTTATATCCATGAGCCAAGGGCTCCTCCCATGGTCTTGCCAAATGTCATGGGCTCCTCCCATGGTCTACACATATAAATCTAATAACAAACAATTACATATTCTCATACAAATCATTTTGTAACCATTAATGGGCCGACCTTGGTGCCTTCGACCCATGAGTGTGGTGTGAAGAGTCACCTCAAATACCGAACGATATCTGACTAGGTCCCGGCTCTGAATATCAGCTCTACTCAACCCCTAAACAAAAACAATTCCTTAAATACAACCCAAAATGCCCTAAAACCCCTTAAAAGTCAAACTTGGTCAAAGACTAAAGTCAAAGGTCAAAGTCAACGGTCCGAGTTGATCCAACTCGCCGAGTTGTCCTTTAACTCGTCGAGTTTCTTCGTTAACTGCAAAGATTGGGAAAACCCTCATCAACTCGCCGAGTTCACTAGTGAACTCACCGAGTTAGCCATAAATCCAACAACTTAATGCATTAAGCTGTTTCCATCGAATCAAGGAACTCCAATACTCAGATCTCCTTCAAAATGATGTCTAGAAGGGTATAGTTTCCAAGTTTACCCTTAGGAACCACCACAATGAGCCTAAACCCGAACCCTAGTCTCAAAAGAGTGAGACTTAACCCATTAAGCCCTTAAACCCTCAAAACCTAGTCTCAAAACACAGATCTAGCATCCCATGGTTGGAAAATCATGTAAAGTTTCCAACTTTACGCCCATGCATGCTAGAAAGGAACCCTAGGACTCAAAATGGCTTAATAAAGGACTTATTGCATGAATGGGACCTAGAACCTAGTAAAGCTTGCAACTTTAAGCCAAGAGAGGTCATGAAAGGGTCAGGTCTAACATAATAACCCCTGTAACCCTCAACTTCTTGGCACAACCCAAACATAAACCCAAAATCAAGATAAAACATCAATCCAAGAGATATAAATGATAACAAATCAAGATATCGACTTTATACCTCAAAAGGACTGCAACAAATGGAGAGTTTCTAGATCTAAAGCCCTCCTTCCAAACTAGGCACCTCCAACTTCAAAGCTCCTTCCAAAGAATACAAAAAACCAACTCTTCAAGCTCACCATAAGCTCATACACTCAACCTTGGAGGATAATGCACGAAATTAGAGTTTCTGGACAAGGAGGCTGGTAAGGAGGCCAACCAAGGGACTTAAGGTCTTTAAATAGGGCGCAACACCCTAAATATTAGGGTTTCTTCACAGCCGCCAACTCGCCGAGTTGGGACACCCCGACTCGTCGAGTTGGTCCACAAATATCCGCGGCCAAAATCCCTCTCGACACGACAAGTTGGAGCTTCCAACTTGTCGAGTCCCAATTGAAAAATACAATTAATTAGAGAATTAAGCTTATACTAAAATCGAGTGTTACACATCATATCGTAACATTCTATAGGGTCATTGTGTATCAAATCTTGTGTATACGCATACCCGCTCGAATCGTTATCTCTATTCTATGAATTTTTTTAGCCTTGGCCAGTTTAACCTCAACCAATTCAACACAAGTAAAATAAAAGCTAAAGCTTCACCATTAGAAATCATACTTGAACTGTAAAAAACAATTACATATAGCATGTCAAATATAAAATAAATAATAACCAAATATTTATAACATGTCAAATATAAAGTAAATAACAAGAAAAATATTTATCTAATAACATAAGTCATGCACCAAAAATTATCCAATAACAAAAGTCATGCATATAAAAGTCATCAAATGTAACATAACAAAAGTCATCAAACCTAACATCCAAAAGTCATGCAACAAAGAACTAGTAAAAGTAATCAAATGTAACATCTAAAAAGTCATCAAAGGTAACCAAACTTCATTCATACACTCCTCACCCACGAGTCACAAGTAGTAGGCGTAAGTCGTAACCAAACTTTCCTAACATTGGCACTTTCAGCAAATAGCAAAAGAGCGGTCTTGTGTCTTTCATCTTCTTCTCCCCATCCCATTTTTTCCAATTTCTCCATACATGCATCTATGTCCTTATCCATTTCACTTCTTTGAGTTTGGTTTGAGGGCACTACTCTCACGACCATTAGTGGTTACTTTATGGATACATGCATCAAGAAAAGTTCTGTCTAAACTTTGGTCCCAAATGAATCCAGATTTCCTTTGTGACATCTCTATAACAAAAAAACAACATATATATATATATATATATATATATATATATATATATATATATATAAATCAGCATGTATGTATAAAAAACAACATATATAACCAAAAATCAACATGTATATACAAAAAACAACATATATAACCAAAATTCAGCATGTATATATAAAAAACATCATATATAACCAAAATTCAGCATGTATATACAACAAAACAACATATATAACCAAAACTCAGCATGCATATACAAAAAAAAACAACATATATAACCTATATTCAGCATGTAAATACAAAAAAACAACATATATAACCAAAATTCAGCATGTGTGTACA